CCTGTGCCACAGTCAATAGCATATTTAGGATGCACAGTGGCTACATGTCATTCTTGACCAACTGTTTTATTTTGAAATCTCCTTCTGTGTCTCAAATACACTTCTATGTAAATTTTAGCTCCAGCAAGCTCTGGAAGAGCTGGATGAAGACGATCTTTGCTATGATTTTCGGAGGCAAAGCCTTATTCAGCACCGTGTCCATCTCTTCTTCCTGCAATATGCTTTTTCAGGGTCGGCTGATGAAATAGATGTAACTCTCATAGCTCAGCTGTCCATGGACAGGTACCCGGAGGGGGGGGAACAGAAGGGTCTGGCAGCATGGCTCTTTCAGGTGTTCCTTTCATTGCTGTAGAACTGGAATTCTATCAGATGGTGGTGCTTTCATATGGCAATTTGGGCTGAAAAGTGAGAAAATTTACTATAATCTTAGTATATGGAAAAACATAATAGTATTCAGCTTTTCACATATTTTTTAATAACACTGTTTTATAAGCACTCATGCTTACTGAGAATCATTCCGTTAACATGACATGCGACCAGTATCTGGTAAAGATGAAAACCAGAAGGGATCTAGTAAGAGTTGGAATCCAGTATTATTTTTAAAAAAAAACCTTGGAGGGAAAGATATGTAAACCTTAAATTGAAATATCTAGACCAGACATGTCAAACTCGAGACGTCACATGACGTCGCGCAACGTATCGGGACGGTTTTGCCATTGCCAGCAATGGGGTGGGCGCGGCTTCTGGATTAACGTGTCCGGCCCGTGGGCCGGCAGTTTGACACCCCTGATCTAGACCTTATTGTTTCCTTCCTTCTTTGATAGAATATCATACCTCAAGTACCATCAGATTGCAGCTATAGTCCATAAAGTGAAAATCTTGATAAAAAGACAGATCTCACCTGAGCCCAGTTGACAGATCATCTGGGAGGCCTACGTCAGCCATTTTGTATTTCCATCATAAGGGAAGGCAAGATGCTAAATGATTTTGCCTGCAATATTTACAAGGTCCCTTTTGACTTTTGCATGTCCCATTGTCAGAGGACACCAGATTTTTAGATCATCTACAGTATGAGAGTTTAGGGGTAACTATTCTACAACCAGCCATAGGTCAGCTGTTCAGTCTGCATATTTCCCCTGCCCCACAAGCCTAGTTGCCACATTGGTTCCCAAGGTCAACCAGTTTGGTATTAGGAAAGCATGGTAGGATCTCAGTGGTTAGGAGAGGAATTAATTTCCCCCATTCCTAAATCCTGAATTGAGTAGAGGGGCTGCACCTTATCATATTTTTGCTTCACCTATTTGATGCTTCTTTTAACTCCCTTGCTTTATATTAGATGTGCTCTTCTTGAATTGAGGCATCCTTAAAATGTTTTGTTAGGAAATGCTGAGATTGTAGCTTTGCCTTCTTAACTTGACCCAAATTTGTAAAGTAATCTGTTTTCTAGACAGAGTCAATTATGGAAGGAAATTATTAGATCCAATTAACAAAAGGTCTGCATGAGTTTAGTGGTGCAAATTGGATGGAGAACATGTTTAAAGAGCATGTTTTAACACTGAAATGGAGGCTGCACAAAATCAGTTCTCTCCAGACAGATTGTATAAATTTGTGTACTTGTTAAAATCAAAGATCAAATATTAATATTAAAACAACGACAATTTATTAATAGTATTTGGTCTTAGAATATAGTGCTGATTCCACTTTTTTGGAATATCACAGAAAACCTCATTGTCTGAACGCAAGTCCTCGTTCTTGTCGTAATATGAGCATTCCTGAAATACCTATTTCTAAGGTTTCTGTCATTTTTATACTTAAATGTAGACAAGAGCTGGTATGGTATTGGCAAAACAGTAGAAATGGAAGAAAACAAAACTTTAAAAATGGAGTGAAGGAACATCACCAAAATTACATTTAGGAACTAATGAGCATTTAAATTGTATTTTAGAAGGGTTTGGGGTCTGGAATGTCTGGGCTCTATAGCTTTTTGTTGACTAATGATAATATGTGATGCTCTCAATTTGTGTTATTGATTGCAGGTTGCAGATGCTGGAGGCGATATGTAAACATTGGACAGGCCCCATTAGCCTGGCTTTGTACATGTCTGATGCGGAGGCCCAGCAGTTTCTACGCTATGCTCAGGCATCAGAGGTGCTGAGTAACCGTCAGAATGTTGCCTATCACATTGTATACAAGGAAGGGCAGTTTTACCCAGTTAATTTTTTGCGCAACATAGCCCTGAAAAATGCACAGACCTCCCATGTTTTTCTGATGGACATTGATTTCCTGCCTATGTATGGCCTCTATGATTATCTCAGGTATGTCTTCTTGAGGTCCAAAGTGGGTCAAGGCAGCAATATAGTTTTCAACTGAGTCTCCCAAAGATCTAAGAATTTGTGAAGTGCCCAGTCTTTTGTTCAGTGTCCCTCCACATAGGGCTTAGTTCTCCCCTTTAGCTGGTGTCAGGTTCCTTCATTGTGAGGAAACTGTCGCCTTCTTCATTTCTCTTTCCACTGATGTTGCAGTTGTCTCTGTTGGCCATACTGACCCAGGAGGAGTCCATAAGCCTATATTATTTTTATTCTAATATATTCCTTAGGCTAAGAAATATGTCAGTCCTAATACCCCCAAAGTGTTGAAATCTCAAAATGTTCTGCTGGCGTTTGTCTCCAGGTCCTCCATCATGCAGCTGGAGCTGCCCCCAAAGAAGGTAGCACTCATAGTGCCTGCGTTTGAGACTCTGCATTACCGCCTCAACTTTCCCAAATCCAAAGCGGAGCTGCTCACCATGCTGGACATGGGCTCCCTCTATACTTTCAGGTAAGTGCTGATCAGAAAAGGTCCATTTTCAAGAACCAAAGGTTGCTGGACCATCTTTAGCAACTAAAGGGCATAACCAGCTTCACAATTCTCTCCAGTAACTTATGCACCAAGATTTAGCTGAAAGTCTATGGCAGTGGTGGCGAACCTATGGCACGGGTGCCAGAGGCGGCACTCAGAGCCCTCTCTGTGGGCACGCGCGCCGTCGCCCCAGTCCTAGGCCTTCAGCTGGGTTTTATAAAACCTTTTCGCTTTAGGCCTCCGCCACCGTGTGCAAAAAAAAAAAAAAAGGTTCAATCAGTCAATTTCAACTTCTCGCAGGAAAAAAAAAGATCTTGCATAGTTGGAATTGATTGATTGAACTTTTTAGTCCCACCCAGTCTGCCGTTACCACCGCAGCCACGCCCACTCAATGGGCCATGCCCACCCGGCACTCGACGATGCATAAGTGGGTTTTGGGTTGCAATATGAGCACTCAAACTCTAAAAGGTTCGCCATCACTGGTCTATGGAGATTCTCAGTCATCCAGGTCATGGTTCCAAAGATGCTTTTACATGAGACAACTGGACGTTCTTTGTTTTTCTTTGAAGATGTTTCGCTTCTCATCCAAGAAGCTTCTTCAGGTGGGAAGCGCAATGTCTTCAAAGAAAAACAAGAAAGTCCAGTTGCCTCGTTAAAAAGCATCTTTGAGACAAGATTTAGCTGGTTATTTGAAACCGATAGATGAATTCGATACTGGTTATACATATATTTCCTCTTCTCCCAGTTCCACTTATGTTCAACTCTCTCATTTTTTGACACCATTTCCGTTCAGATTTTTTTTTTAATTTTTCATGACTGTTTCCTGCTTTGCATTTCTCAGAGCTTTTACAACCATTTCTGTTCTTTATTTTGCACCATTTTCTCTTCCCAATTTCTGCCCCTTCTCCCCGCCGAATCTCTTACTGCTCTGCTTCCATTGCTTTTCTTTCTTTATATTGAAATAAATCAGCTAATAGCTTGGTTTCCATTGGTACTCTAGAGTATGTTAATTTGTTTGGGTCTCCCATTCCCCCCCCCCAATATTACTCCCATTTCGTTCATAACAAAAATGGCTGGTTTTGTTTGTAACATCTGTGGCTATAAGAAAGGCTGCTTCTCCCACACAATCCAATTCATTCTAAATGATCAGGTGATTAGAATCTTTGCTCCAAGTCCCATTATCATCTGACGTTTACTTGGAAAACATTTCCATCTTTACTCTCAAATCGTTGTGAAACCCCAGAAGAAATCAGAATTCTCCTGCTGAAATTCAGTGGGAAATGTCTGAGCTTCAGTAGCACAATGCCAATTTGTTTGGTTTGGGAGGTAGTAGGTTGAACTGGGAATTAAGAAGCAATTAACAAGCATATTGATTTAGATCCAGCACAGGCATATGTAAGAAACCACACCATTTGAACAACCAATCAACAAGAGAACCAATCAGTTGCTCAGAATTTAAATAAAGCTCCAAATGAACAACCAGTCACACGACTAATTGACCACACTGGCACACAAAACATATATACGCTAAAGAGGAATAGGACAAGAAAATCCTGCTGGTAATGTTACCTAGTCTGGTAACGAAACATTTAGAAACTAAATTGAAATAAGCTTGGAGAGCAAACCACTGCCAAAATCTAAAACCCAAGCTACAAGTATTTCCTATTATTTCAAATGAACATAATATCTTGTGACAATCTAAGAAGTGTGACTTTTGATAGAAGTTAATAAGGAAGTCTGGTTAATCTGAGCTTGTTTTTCGGTCTCTTAAGTTTTCAGTATAGGAACCAGATGCAGATTGAAGTATTTTCATTTAGTGTTTCCCCAGTGATGTATATTTTTGTGTACAGGTATCATGTGTGGCCCCAGGGCCATGCTCCAACAGATTATGCCAAATGGCGGACAGCCACAGTGCCGTATCGAGTGGAATGGCAACCACAGTTTGAGCCTTACGTTGTAGTAAGGCGTGATTGTCCCCTCTATGACCAACGGTTTGTAGGCTTTGGGTGGAACAAGGTGTCTCACATCATGGAGCTTGATGCTCAGGTGAGTATGTGGTTTTTGAACGGCCCACTGTTTGTCCTTTTTGTTGAGGAAGACCAGGGCTGAAGGGAATGGCTTCCGATCAGCCACTTCCTGCCTTTTCACAGGAGTATGAGCTGCTTGTCCTGCCCAACGCCTTCATGATCCATATGCCTCACGCTCCTAGTTTTGACATCTCCAAATTCCGCCAGAGTGCTAGCTATCGGAACTGCCTCCAGATCTTGAGGGAAGAATTCCATCAGGACCTGTCCCGCAAGTATGGTGCAGCAGCACTAAAATACCTCACTGCGGAGAGAAGTTTATGAATGGCAACCAGAATACCAAAGGACCGTGTGACCTGCAAATCGACAAGACTCAGACTTCTTGGAGAGACTCACATCAGAAGCTCAGTCCTTCTAGCTATGGTGATCTAATGGTACGGCCATGCCTAGATTGTGAATGGAATTTTAGCCACGGCTGTTGTTCAGGGCTATATTTTGTGGCAAATTCTGTTCTTAGATTAACTAGGCAAATTACATTTCTATGCATCTGCCTCTTTTTACAGATTGTTCCCAGATTAAGAAGAAGTCAGAGAAAAAGAGGGAAAATGTGTGGCTTAAGTGCTCTCCCTTTCTCATGTGCACTGTTTTAATATAGTGCTTGTGTTCACCTACATTCAACAATGGAAAGGAACATTTTTGTTCATAATTGTAGCATTTCTCCTTTTACTGTCTATCAAATAGCAAGGGCTGCCATTACTATTTTCTACAGTGTCTTCTCTTTGCCCATTGTTCTCTAGGCTTTGTTCTTAATGTATTTTGTAAGAGAAGAGGTCCTAATGGCTCCAGTCATAAAGCTGAAAGGGGCTGTCTTGTTCAGTGCAGGAGTCCAATTAAACAGACAGATGATTATTTAGTCTTCGATTGAAGGGAGTCCACCAGACTTCTGAGCATTATAATTGATTTGGACTGTCAAGTGACCTTCAGAAGCAATCTACTTCTAAAACCTGTTGCTGGGTAACACAAGTTAGGGGGGGTGCTGTTCTGCTCTTTGATTTTCCTTTTTCTTTTTTATACATATCAGTTGGCCACTATGGAAACTGAATGGGGAAACTAGATAAACATCTGGTGATGTTACCTAGTTTGGCTAATGAAACATCTGTAAGAAAACAGTCAGGCTCAGAGAGCACCAAGGGCCCCTCAGATAAACCTCTGGTTTGACCTTATTTCTAGCCTCATCCCCTTTTTCCTTGTTTTGGCAATTCCCTGAAAATCAAATTTGAAGCAAGACAATTCCTTTAATGTTGATGTTGATCTTTTTCTTTTCCTACCTGTCTCTGAATATTTCTTAGCATTTGCAAGAGAAACTATTCTGGGTTTCTTAGTTATCTGTTTAATTATGGCCATATTGATTGAAGAGCTTTTTGTGCTTAACCATATTCTAAAACAAGAACCATATGTCATGTGGGGGAAAAAGATTAAATGAAAAGAAATTCACACTACATATTTTGCTGAGAATATATGGCATAAAGGCCCATCTACAGTGATGCTTAAAAAATTGTGAACTCTTTTTGAATTTTCAATAGTTCTGTGTAAATATGACCTAAAATGTTATTTGTTCTCCACCCAAGTCCTAAAACAAGACAGAACCAATTGAATGAGTCAAAATATAATACAGATTCATTGATCTATTGAGGAAAGTGATCCAAAGCCACATATTTAAATGAGTACGAATCTTTGCTTTCAGTAACTATCATGTCCACCATCCAAACCTGGGTAGCAATAACTGCAACTAAACATTTTCAATAACTATTGATCTGTGCTACACACTGTTCTGGTGGAAGTTTAGCCCATTCCTCCTCATGGAATAGGTTTGATTTAGGGTTGTTGGCAGGTTCCTTGAATGAGTTACCTATTTTGGATCTTCCACAACATCAGGACGTTCTTGGCCCTTCCAAACCATTTCTTCTGCTTTAATCACATTTTTGGTTGTACACTTCCTATGTCTTGAGTCATCATCTCGCTGCATAATTCATATTCTCTTGATCTTCCATTGACATTTTTCTGTAGAATTGGGTGGTATAGTTTGGAAGTTATAGTTCAATCAATGATGGCAAGTCATCCTGGTCTAGAGGCAGTAAAGCAGGCCCAAATCATGATACCAGCACTGCGTTTCAGAGATGGGTTAAAATCCTTATTCTGAAATGCAGCATTTGCCTTTTGCCAAACACTTTTCATTCAAGCCAAAACGTTTCTGTTTTGGTCTCATCCATCCACACATTCTTTCAATAGCCTTTGAATTTATCCATGTGGTCTTTCACAAACTGTAGAGAGGCAGCAATGGTTTTTTGGATAGTAGTGGCTTTTTTCTTGCAACATTGCCATAACATACCACTGCTATCCAGTGTTCTGTCATGCTATTCATCAGTGCAAGAGAGGTCTGTGGTTCCTTAGATGTTTCCTCTTTGAGACTTCCTGGAATATTTCACACCTTGCTCTTTGGATGATGCTTGGCCAATAACTCCTGGCGAGCGTAACAATAGTGTTGAATTGTCTCCACTTGTATATGATCTGCATGATAGTGGACTGGTGGAGTACAAACTTTTTGGAAATAGTGTGATCTTTTCCAGCCTGGTGAGCATCAACTACTGTTTTTCGAAGGTCTTTAGAAATCTTTGTTTGAGCCCTGACACACATCTACAACCCTGTGCTGTGAAGATCATAGAATTCTGTTTTATAAATAAGGCAGAATTTTCCATGCTCACATCTGATTGTCATCACATTGATTTAACCACCAGACTGTCTCTTCAAATGAACTGACCATCCTAGAGTTTCATATACTTTTGCCACACACAAATATGTAGATTTGGATCATTTTTCTCAATCTATGAATGAACAAATATGTTTTTGACTCATTCCTTTGTATTCTGTTTAGTTTTAGGATGTGCGTAGGATGACCTAGAACACATTTTCGATCCTGCTTATGCAGAAATACTCAAAATTCAAGATTTCACAAACTTTTAAGCACCGCCGTAATACTGAGTTCTTGAATTAGGCTTCACCAAGCAGATGGTCTCAAAGAATTTAATAAGGCATTTTTGAAGTAAAGTATTCTTTCTGTTGTCTCTTTTTATTGTTCCACCCTCTAAAAGTGGTGGTCATGCTGTTATGCCCCACAGAAGCTGTTTGACTTCTGCACTCACGAAATCACCTTAGTGCAGCTATAATTTGGGTATGCTCAGCACTGCCAAGCAAACTTTTTCTTCTCCATGGAGGCAGGTGAAATTCATCCAAGGCCCTTCATATTTCCCATCCCTAAATTACAAGAGTTCCCTGCTCCAGGGATGGAGCTAGTGTTTCAATTTGTAGGCAGCTGAATCTTTGAAGCCTTGGAAGTCTTCTGCACACTGCCATCTGTATAGCTGCCTAGGCAATGACTGTCAAAACGTCTGTTCTTTGAATGGAAAAACCTAGAGTTCCAAGTTAAAGATGGTAATCATTTGGCTTTCAGTGCTTCAGATGTTATTAAAAAGAAGTGATTTGGGACATGTGTGAGCACGAAAGCATCTTCTGCTCATTAAAGCAGCATTGTCCTCATGATCATGTAGCTGCAGAAGTCTCCTGGAAATAGAAGTAGCTACTTTATTGAGTCACAGGCAGTTTCTATATTTGTACTGCTGTGTATTCTGAAGCACATCTCCTGAATCTGATCGAAGGATTGCACAACCCTTATAATAATGTGCTTTTAATTAATGCTGTACTGGATTGTGTGTTGGGAGCAGCTTCTACCCAGCACTTGTTCATAGTTATGAAACACTGGATCACAAGGAGTTGGTTCTTCAGTTACTATTTATATAATTTAAACTGATTTCTCACTAAATGTAAATTGTGTATCTTGAATTTTCTAACAGTTCCTTTTTATCTTTGTGTTCTGGAGAATCTCCAGTACTTTCTGCTGCTAGACTGTTTCTTCTGATTTTTCTGGTATTAAACTGGAATGTAAAAGTGATGGGACTGAAGTGTTCCATCCTAATTTAAAATGGACTCATATAAATATTGACTCTAGTCCAAGTTGAAAATATAGAGAACTGGTCATATTTCTTGCCCCTTTTTATAAAAAAAAAATAAAGTTTTTAAAAATTACTTTTCAAGCCTTTGATTGGAATTGTGTGGTTATTTATTGCTAAAGAACCCTAAACTAAATGATGACTGAAACAACAAATAGTAAAATTATTCCCATTTTTTCTTGAGGAAAATCTGGTAGTTTTTGCTGCACAAAGAGCTCTGGGTGTTAAGTTATCCTTGTTCAGTTTTCCTACTTCATTAATGCATTAGTGCTAAATTTAAGGCAAGACAGAATGGAAGTCAAAAATATAAAGTACTAAATTATAATTGGGAAACTGGTGATCCTTCATTTGCCCCCATTACACTGCTGGCCAGGGATGATGGTAAGTAGAAGTCTATCAATCATCTGTGGCATCATAAATTGCCTGTCCTTGAACTACTGAGAACTGCTGGAAGGATAAAACCACAGGTTAGGAAGGCATGGAAAATTCTGCCTCCAAGATGCTGTTATTCCCAGAACCTCGCTTCAAACTACAGGCAATAATAACAACCTGGTTCATATCAGTCCACTGGCCACTCTTTTCAAAATGGCAGGTACTTGTAATGTGCTGTGTGTATATACAACTTGGGGAGCTGAGCTACCAAATGTTTAGTCTTCGTATATTGTTTTTTTCCCCAAAAGCCATTTTAGGTCGCTGTAATTGAGATAAAACAAAAACAAAACATACACCCTCAAATGCAACACTGTTTTGACAAGGAGATAAGAGATGCAGAAAACCAAGCTTTTATTCACGCTGTCCTTCAAAGTTGTTCTTCACTCATTCTGCTGAAGGGCTATGATTTTTTTTTTCAAATTTTGTTAACAGCTTAGAAAGGAAAATACAAATTATATAATATCTGAGTGATTATAATAAAACAAAATTAGCATAGCAGGCAAAAATCTCATGTAAGATTTGTGAACAAGAAAATATGACTGGGGGGGATTCTCCAATTAGGTAGTTGGGAAGATAAAAATAAACACAGCAGACACAGTAGTATAACTAAATCAGTTTTTTTCACACATACCTTATTTATAAGGATGTAGTAAAGGAAAATGGGATTTGGAAAGAGGAACTAAGTTGAGAAGAGAGCCACAAATATTGCAGTTAGAACACAACATTAAAGCTAACAGGGATTAGGTTCCCTAACAAAAGGGAATTCAGGAAGGGATAGAGGGAAATCTCTATGTCAGATTTAAAAAACAGAAAACCAGCTTCAGTGTTGGTAAATGAGTTGTGCTTATGTACAGGCTAAAAACCTGCTGGGCAAACTTCTCCAACTCTCAAGATAAATAGCCCTCCATCTACTTAGCTTCTAAAACTCAACTGATGATCTATCATGAAAGTATAAAAACTGGACCTGTGCAGTTTAAACATGATTTGAAAGAAACACTTTGAACCTCACAATAGTGTAAGACCTCTTGGCCATTCATTAAAGCAACTTTGTTTTGATTTCCATTGCAAGCTTAAAATTAAGGTGCCACTGCTTTAAGAATCACATTAACAGTAATGAATCAACTCCTTAAATAGCTGCATTTTTTTCAGGCTCAATGGAAGTACCCATTAAAAAAATCATGTTCACTTTGACAAGCCACCTTTAAAAGCTGTTTTTCTTAATTCATGACCTGTTAGCAGGGATATAAGCTCTCATCTTCTATGACAAACAAAACTTGAGACAATAGATTTTATTGTTTTATTTAGTAAAATGTTAAATAAATACAAATTGATCATTTAGTCTGTACCCTCTTTTTCTTCCCAGTTTAATAGACTGAAAACTAGACACGACGTTACCAAACCCACAAGGGAGTGGAAGGCTACAGAAAGAAGGCAGCAAAGAGACTGAAAAATCATTATGAGCACCAGGCTATTTCTTTTTTATCTTAATCTCCCTCAAAAAAAGCAAAAGCAAAACCCTTGGCTAAACCAAGTCATGTATCTGTATACCATTCACAGGGTGACCATCTGTGAAACTGAGGTTGCACCCAATTCATGTAAATAAAGTCTTACAAACGATATAAGAGCTGGGTTGCAGAGGCAGTACAAGTGTAGTTGAGTTTAGTTGGAACATACATTGGAGAAGGTAAGGTATGGAGTGGCCAACTGCTGGCTGCATGAGGCTGTGTGTTCCTGAATGTGATTCCAAAGTTGGATATGCAAGGCTGGAGACTTACTGCTGGAAAAGCAAAAATGGAGTTTTCCGTGAGGTCAGCCACTTTTTTTTATCACAAACCAATTACTGTAAGGAGTCCTGTTCCAATTATCAAAAAATTGTGTTATAAGCAATTGAATCATGTCTTAAAATAAAGATACACAGGTGATTCATAAGGAAGTCAGCAGGAATATCTCTATAACTGCAAAACTGAATAAATTACAAAATAAGATACAAATTAGTGTAACATTAAATACATCATGTGTACTTGACAAGGAAGCCTAAATAAATTAGCATTTAACTCCTTTTTTTAACTAAACCAAGAGTTTCCTACTTAAGATACCAAAATTTCAGCCCTGTCTTAATTCCTATTGGAATTAATTCATGCCTAATATTCATAATACAAATTAGCGCTAATGAGATTTTTCCTTGGTGTTTTAAGGCAGGGGTCCCCAACCCCCGGTCTGTGGACCGGTACCGGGCCGCAGCATGCCAGGGCCGCACAAACAAGCAAAGCCCCTTCTGTGGGATGCAGACAGCACATAAAGCCACGCCCCCTCGAGTCCGCGGAAAAACCTCTCCACATAACTGGTCCCTGGTGCCCAAAAGGTTGGGGACCTCTGTTTTAAGAGATACAATCATGAAGGGGGTACCTCATTCTCCAAGACCTACCTTTATTCCACAACAAGAGTAGAACAGTTAACAGAAAAGTTTGGTGTACTCCTTACTGAAGTATCAGATTCTCAGAACAAGACCCTTCACAGTGATCCAACTACCATGTTCCTGACATCAAGGCTGATATGTAAGTATATAGCTTACAAAATACAAAAATCACCGAGATATTGGAGAAGAAGGGAAATAAAGATAAGAACTCATCAAGCATTTCCAAAGAGCACTGTTTCTATATCTAAATAACGTAGATAGCAGATGTAACACCCCAAACTTTGCTTTTATTGCCTTCAATATGTAGAGGGAAATTTGCAAAGGAAAGACTCCTTTGTGATATTAAATCGGGGTTCTAAATTGCATGGAAAGCCTTTATTGGGTAGAGGAGCATCTCAGCAATCTTCTACACATAAAGAATGGTGAAAAAGGATTACAGAAGAGAGACACACTGCTTCCTTCCAAGTGTTTAACGTTTTGTGAATATTTGAAGACAGTTATTTACAATTCTAGTGGAATAGAATTGACTCCTTGGCAGGGTTCATACTTCACGCTAAACCAAATCTTGCTGAGTAAATCATAATGTCTGATTTGTATACAGTAAGCCAAAGCCACATTATGGCTTACATGTGATGTGTAACTCCAAACATTCATTTTAAAGATCTTGTACTTTACAAAGGAGACCTTAGATAAACTGAGGTAGAATAAGGGTTGGAGACAGGGAGATATTTAATGCTAAATACTTATTTCAGTAACAATGATTTTTAAAAATGGAAGAGCTGTGTAGAGCTACCCTAAAAATGGAAAGGCATCTACATAAGACAACAGCCAGTTATTATCCATTCTTAGAGATGCAATACATTTATCAATATTTGAACAACATTACAGAACCTTAAGGTCTCTCATGATCACCTGTTAATGGGAAGACACATTGGGAAAGAACTAGGCCACTCTGCTTTTGTGTTCAACTATATCACATTGGTAGAGCCCAGGAATTAGCGTAACTTCATAACTTATGTACAAAAACTACATAAATCAGTTGGAGGAAGGAATCAACCCCCCTTTTTATGAGGCATTTGTGTTTTTTCTGAACCAAATTCACTAGTGGGACCTTCTTGCTTTCACTTATTGTCAGAGCTGAGCTTTTTTTGTGGGGGGGGGAGGAAATAAACAACTATAAAGAGGAACAAAATTTGTAATTCTAGGATTTGTAGCGGAGGGTCATACATTAACTATACACTGTAATTCTGAATTGATCAGAGCACCTGTCTTAAGTAGGAACTTTTAAAAAAAGAAAAGATTGTAGAATGACTAAGAATGCTTTGCTATGTGTTCACATTTTAAAGGAAATCAATGGATTAAAGAGGATCAAAATCTTAAAATAAAGGGGAATCACAATGTTAAGCAATGGGGAAGCATGCTGCTGGCCTACAGCTGCATCACAAATCTGCGTTTGCACAATTATTTGATACAATTTTCCAATAGATTAACTGCACCAAGTCCCACAATGGACCAGCCCATCTAATCAATTCTTTCATTTTTTTACAATATAAATCAAAATATTTTTTTTAACTCCAAACTACTTCCTCACATGTTCACAGTGAATTCCATGATATACAGCACCACACATTTATAAGAAAATGTATTGTGATATATTGATACAGCTGACAAGATATAAACAGCCAATGTGGCACTGAGCAGAGGCTGTAGAAAATTGAGGAGGAGGAGGAGAAAACCAAGACTAATTGCAAGCCACTAGCATAAGCATGGTTTCTCTTTTCTAATGATGTTTCTGAATATTTCTCTGACATAGTGCTGACATGAAGTGTTATCAGAAACACTGAACTTGGTAATTCTAGCTAATAAAATAATTTACAATGACAATCTTATCTAACAAAAAATCTTTTCTGTGGTTCCCTTTTATTTTGAGAGCAATCCCTTGCATTGAAGAAAATCTAACATCCATTAGATCATTGCACATTTTTTTTTGTTCAATAAAACAAATATTTATCCATTCTGTAAATATGGAAGAATCCTCCTATAAAGTCCAAATTTTATTTTATATTTTGTGCTGTATTTTCAAAACTCAAATCTATGAACAACATTTTGTTTCTGGATACTGAGAATTCAGAATAGCCTGCTAATGATTGTTTTCCTCTCTTTCCCTTCATCTTAACTGGTTACAATTCTAGGCCAGGAGATGCAAAGAAAAGTATGCATGTATAAAATTGCAGAATGATAAACTGACAACAGCCTTATTCATAATATCAAATAGTGCTGGGTGACAATCTTACTAGTCAGAAGACAAAAGATTTACATCCAAAACAGATTTCCAATACATGGGAGACTTGCCTCAAGAAATCATATCCTTCATACAATATGAAACTGGAACCCAACACTTTTTTATGCTTCTTTATAAACAAGTTACCCTTCCTTTCTGAGGCAGACTCAAAATGTTGTTATTCACAATTTACAACATACAGAGAATAACTTCCCATGGGGTCACTGTTTCAGCCTTTAAGTCACATTTAGCAGGAAGAGTAGTTCTGCATTTATTCCACTTCCCTGTAAAGGACAGGAAGTGACCGTGGCCACTATACTTCAGTCAATTCGAAGTGAACTCATGATCCAGGGACCCAGCAAATGGGAATAAACTAATATTTGAGATCTTGTTCGCTGTCATCAGCAGAGAAAACTGGCCAATTTCATTCATTCCTTTTTCCCAAAAAGGTGTCTAAACCTAAAAGGGCTAAAAGCTTGTCAACTCATCATACATGTAATCTTGCTTGCTAAAACATCCCAGGCAGGCAACAATATCAAAATGGTTTATTAAATGGTTGGCTTACTAAGACACAAAATTTACAAACTTGTGATTCTAGTAATATTTGCTCTGTGCATTCTTGTGATAATATTGTATACTCAGAGCAGCTGTCAATCTGATTGGCTGTCTTTCATTTATACCCATTAATGACATATAATCTTTGGAAATATGCTAGCTTCACTACAAAATATCAAGAGTTGACAGTAAAGCCTGACATTTCAAATGTAAAGCAAGTTCTGATTGACAGGATTTTTTTTATTTTTCACTAATTAACTTGAGAATGAACGATCAGTTGCTGGGCTCTAAAAGTAAGAAGCCTAATTAAAAATGACTAAAGCTTCAGGGACAAGAATGGAAGCCACAAGAAAAACAGAACTGCTACAATAACTAGCGAACTTGAAATGAATGTACAAATAAAGTGCATAATGATGCATAGATCTTTAATGTAGAATAAGCGCACCTGTACCACTAGTGATTAGCAGAAATAAGAGTTCTGCTAACATGTATCCAGATAATGTTTGGGTCCACATTGTCATGATTTAGTGACATGAGTTCTGCCACAAAAAACATGTTGGGTGATTGCACTGATATATACAAAACTGGCTATTTCAAGCTTACAGATTTGATGTCCAGCATCAGCCTTTTGATCATTGCAGGATTAGTTTGACAATTATCTTAAAAAGTAAGATAAAGAAGTGTTATCCCTCAGCTTAGGTGCTATATTGCAATAGAATAAAAATGATTAATGCTGTCAATGCTATTCTCTGTGCTTTTACAGAGAGAAAAAATCCCCTTAGTTTAAAAAAATGGTTTCAGCTCAGATTCAGTTTTAATTGTGAAGGCTATTTCAATGGCATGACAATATCAAGATATCCACCCCAAGGCATTTTCAAACTGAAACCACAGCATTATGGCAATACCAGAAATAAAATCTGTTTTTTTTTCTTTTTAAAAAAAATCTAAGTACACAGAATTTACTCCAGTTCTGACACCTTTTTAATAGAAATCACTTGTTTAGGAAACAAATAGCACTTTTTGTAATTTTTTACAATGTTTCTTACCTTGATCTTATTTTAAGTAACACTAGGAAGACCTCAATATCTTTTTTCTTTTTTTAATTTAAAAAAAGTTGTTTTTCCCCAGATACAAAGATTTGCCCTTGCATAAAAAACAGTGCCCAAAACGATGACACACGGACTCACAACGACTCACTGTATCTCACTGACACTATTACTTCTAATCTATACCATGCAAGGTCCCATCTACCTTTTTATTGGACTGTCAGCCTGAAAAAAAAAAAGAGTTTTTTTCTATTCCTTACATTTGTAACCCAAAGAGAAAGGAACGAAGGAAACAGGCATTTTACCTATTTGGGCAATACATTAGGGACATGTGTTGTGCTGTTTGGGATACTGTTTTTGCTGGACAAATGTACCAAAAAGAGAAAAAAAAATTCTTTTCACTCATGGCCTGCTTTATAAAAATGCAGGCTGATCATATTAGTCTCCTTCCCTACCTCAGTAAAAGCTTCCTTCTTAATGTAGCAACTAAATCAACAATGCATTTTATTTGCATCTGAATATATTTTCTGAATGCATTAAGAGAGAGAAAGTGGGGGGGAGGGACGACAACCCAAAGCTGCCAGTCTAGTAATCTTCAGCCTTTTGGATACTTACTGAAAAATCCTTCCTGATCCTTTGTTGTGTTTTTCTGAAAAAAACAGTGGTAAATACTGCTTACTAGATAAAAGTTTTTATCCCCTCCCCCATCCCCCTTTTAAGATACTAGGATTTGTTAATTCTTATTTTTGCATTTTTGGTTTAGTAGTATGGACAATTTAGAAACAGAAAAAGCCCGCAGGCTCTTTGGATTTGAAGTTCCCCTAGCTAAACAAAAACTGGCCTATAGATAAGATCTGAAACCTGCTGCTCCCTGCTCCCTACCCCCAAATAAAAATAAAAAAACAAACCTATAGTGGCTGTGGAGGCTGCTGCAGGCACACTCTGGTGTAAAATATAGAGAGTAAATATCTTATTTAACTTGGCATGGTGCTGGCTAAGAACCTCCAGCTGGCACTATTCATGTAACATGGTCCAAACTTTGCACGTACACACAGAATAAGAAGGATCAATTGGCAAACTTGGTGCCGCCCGGCACGAGCATCTTCATACTCTTTCTGGAACTAAAGAGTTTCTTGTATTTTCCAGAAGAAATCCATTTCCTTTTCTAGAGGGTCTGTTATGTTCTTCTGCTTTGCTGCCATCTCCTCAGGCTCCTTCTTATTGTGCTCTGTTATTTAGTCTCATTGCCCTTCTTACAGTTCACCATGCAGCTCTGGGAGGGGGAAGAGGCTGGGGCGGAGGTGGCCGCTGTCACGTTACTGGCGGAGTCCGTGCCATTGGAGATGGCTGCTGAACTGCCCTCAGAGTTTATGGATTTGGAAAGGTTGATGCCTTGGATGAGGCGAATTAACTGTTTTACCTTCTCCAACGAACTGTGCATTTCCTTCTGTTTTGCCAGGATTGTGTTCTTCATTTCCATACATTTCTGAAGTGAATCAGAACATTAATCTTAGTGAGTACATTGCTAAAAAAAGCCTGAACTAATACAAATAAAGAAGGCAAAATGTGAAAATGGTATGCAAAACAAACTGCATTTAGCTCAAATGGACTTACATTTATAGAAATATCTTTTTTTTAAAAAAAGAAACATTTTTGCTTGCGTGTAGCTCTGTGTACATCTGATTTAAAGTTATGTTTGTGCTATACTGTAGATAACAATAGAAAGATACTGTACTTAGTAATGTGAAATAATCAGTTGTGGATTCTCAGTTTTAAAAAGCAAGTTAAACACTGAAATATTCCCTTTGAATAGCTGAAATTTCTTTCTGTCCGTCTATGACATATTTCTGATTTACCATACACACACCTTGATTCAACAGGAACAATCTGTGCAAGAAAATAAATTTCTATACAAAAGCTGCAAAGATAGCATATGATGCATATTTCTATATTATGTCTAATCACTAGATGAACAGCAAGTCCATTATGACTATGATAGTTATCTGTTTTGGAGAGTAGAAGAGGTACAGTCTAAATTTGTGTGGCTAGTACAAGAATACTTTGCAGTATATCTCTGGTTTAGAACATAAACTGATTTTCTTCTCACAAGTTTCATAGAAAGGGAAATAACAAAACTGATAATTTGAGCTGCCAGAAATGGCAACAAATACTTTATATATTTGGTTTTTTAAAAATAACTCATATAATCGTCCATCTTATGTACCATAGCCCTGGGTATCTCACAGAACATAAACAGTCTAACTACAAACCATTGGAAGACTTGAAAGAGTGGGTACAGACTGTCATGAAGAAAATGTATGTGAATGCTAGGAATCAACGACTTGCTGGTACATAACTAATCAATCAATTTAACCAGAGTCTAATCAAGGTTCCTTGTATGTGAAACCAGTGTGTTTTCTTGAAATGGAGTGGGCTTCAAGAGATGTTAAAATAAATAGAATGTGAAAAATGACTGTCTTTGAGCCTACAAAGTTCTTATTAGCTAATTAGATATCTTCCCTCTTCTCCAGGAACTCAAGGCAGCTTTTATTTATCTCCATAAAATAGACTGGGATGAGACCAAAGGACTGGCCAAAAATCATACTGGAATTTTCCATGATTAATTGCAAACAACTAGTTTTTTAAAAATATAAAAAAGACTAGTAAAATTGGAATTTGTATTAATATGGCTACTTTTTTTTAAAAAAAATGAAAATATATCCTTTTCATTTATACATTTAGAAATTAATTCAAATATGATACAATTTTAATATGGAGAAAGAGTGGAAATATTAAAATATCAATGCTCTTACCCAGTGCCAAGATCTAGATGGAAGGCTGCAAGTAAACCCTAGCAAGACTAAGTGGCTGTGGGTTTTGTGTACTCCAAGATCTGGTAAGTTACCATCTTTAACTTTGGATGAGGTTATGTTGGGAGTACAGTACAAAGAATATGGAATAGGTACAAACTCAGGCTGTGCCCCAAAATGCCTTTATTGGTTTCAGCATAAGAAGCATTTTACAGAAAAGAAATGGTGGGCCAAGAGAAATGGTTAACATATCAAGATTTGCTGGTACAAAAACATGGAGAGCTTAAATGAAGTTAAGAGATCAATTTACTGCAAGGGATTTAGTATGCAATGGTTTTCACATGTACAATTAAGAGACTTAATATAGATAAAAAGTAATTGAAATTGAAAAACATAAAAAAGAATTTGAAACTGAATTGTATACAAGTAACAAATATGTGATTGCTGAAATGTATAAACTTTGCTGAGATTGAAAGAAAAGAACAAATTACAGAGTGCATGATAAATGCAAGTGAGTTGTCAAGCACCCGAATTGCGATTTGGGTTGAAATCAGGGGTCCTTGGTGCTCTCTAAGCTTGGTTGTTTTCTTGCAGACATTTCATTACCCAAACTAGGTAACATCATCAGTGCTAGTAAGGAGTGTTGTTTGCTGTCAGTTTATATTCTAGTGGCTTGCCCTGCCAGTGTTGGTGGGGGTGGTCTTGGTGGTTCTTTGGTTGGGCTGTTTAGTGCTAGCTAAACAGTTCTTTGATTGGGTTATTGCTCAGAGAGCACAAGGACCCCTCATCTCCAGATTGATATGAGGTAAAAAAAATAAATCCTCTTTTCATGGTTCTTAGTGAAAAGCAAAGAGGTATAAACAAATGATTACCTGGCAATGGTTAATACTTACTGTTATAGAATTGCTGAGTTGTTTGACTTTCTGTTCTAATTGTTCCCTTTCCTGCTTTAAATCTGAACTCCATTTTAATAATTTCTGTTTTTCCTCTTCTTTTGCTGTGGAAAAGAGGTTATTAGTTGTACTATATAGATATGCTCTCTCATCAATTTTTTTTACACTGGACCACCATTCAATGGCTGTGATTGCGATGCTGCATTATTCCTGATGTTGCAGATGGATTCACTAGTGTTTACGAGCAAGTCCTGAAGTTACAAATATTGCAGCACCACGGCAGTCGTTCGCCCTTACAAGCAACTTGAGTGGCACTGCAACATTCACCCTATTTCCTCCCCCCACTCCTCCCAACTGCTTCCCCCTCCCTTCCTGCTGCGCCAAACTCACTTACCTTACAAAAATCCTCTCTGCCGCGGTTTCTTTCCCTTTGAAGGAGAGGAGAGTCGGCGTGGAAGTGTTTTTTGCACCGAGAATGGAAGTTTCTGGAGTCTGTGATCTCGCGCAAGTGTTTGAAGTTGCGCCAAATCACGGATCTCAGAGACTTTCATTCTCTATGCAAAAGGTGCCTGTCTCCTGCTCCTGCCCCCAACTCCTTTCTGCCTGACAGCAAGCCTGAAGCCAGCTGAATCCGGCGTGGCAGGAAGGGAGGGGGAAGCGGTATCTTAGTGGCTCGGGGAGATCTTGGGGGCCTGTTCCATCACTAGGCCCTCCATGGCCTTCCCCACCCTGAGATACCTCATGTTTTCTTAACGAGCCGCATGCATTTTAACGAGCAAGAGAGTGATCTCGCTAAAGGAACGAGATTCACTCTACGAGTTTTTTGAGTTATGAGTGGAATGGGCAGGCTCCATTACACTCGTAACTCGAGGACTACCTGTAGAATAAACATTCTGATCATTTTTCCCAAAAAAATCAAGCCAAAGACTTACCTGTTTTGTATGCAATATATGAATGAACAATTGCTAAAGTCCCTGGCCATGGAATTGCTTCTTCTTTCTTCAGCATCTGAAAGAAAGAAGGGTGAACATTTGGCTGACATATTCTACTTCTAGGGAAGATTCTTGATATAGCCGTTAAAATCATTCTCAATATGTACATTCATAGTTGTCTTCTTAGAATTGTTGTATAAAGTTAAACAACTTTAACTTCTTATAAGATTTATTGCTAGGCCCACTCCTGCATAAGAAGTTGGATTGGGATGGCAGGAAGTAGAAGGTTCACTAAAGAAAAGAAATGAGCAAGGGTATATCTAAGCACTAAAAGCACCTGGTTGCATAGTGGGTGTAAATTCTGCTAATGAATGCACAATTCACAAACCAAATAAAATAAATGTACTAAAATGATATATAATTGTGTTTTGAGGAAAATAGAGGGATGGAAGATATAGCCCTGCTGCTATGAAGTTGTTAAAGGAGCTTAGATTATTGCCACTCCAGAGGCCTCTAAATAAGGACACATATTTTAAATACTATGAATTATAAAACATTCATAAAATAACAAAACAGTAGCAGGCTGGCAGGAATTGTGTTATTAAACATTAACCCATAAGTGCCTATGATAGTGACAAGCCTGCTTTGCCTGACTCAACAACAGCTCTGCCAAGGAAGACAGATTTTTTTTTTCCAAAATAAGTAACTAAATGCAATTGGAATATTGGTTAAATTTCTTAACAAAGCATTATTTAGGTGGAAAAAGACATCAAAACTCTCCCCAAGGGAGTAATCATTTCATTTACTGCATGCAAAAAAAACCTCCTCCACAAGCTTCTGAAAAGCCCTTAAAAGTATTAACAGTATGAAATACTCTTTTGTTTTTTACTCCCACAAAGGGGGCCAGCTAAATCACAGCCTCAGCAATTTTATACATTCCTGAGAATCTACAAACCTTTCCTGCTGTGAATTATAAAAAAAAAACGAACTGGAATGAAAAGGCAACATATATCTTATCTTACATTTTCAGTAAAGAGGATAATGACTTTCTGACTCACAAACTGCTGTTGTAAGTAGCTCAAATACCAAATGCACTGGATTTTCAGAAAGAAAGTAACATTACAATATATGAAAATGTTTTTTGTCATGGTGTTACATCTAACCGCTGTCATCGTGTGGATATTAATTTGGCAGTCACTCGGAAGGGTGGCCCTTGTTGCTGTGATACCAACTCTTGGAAAACTGTCTCCCTAGTCACAAAGCTTGCAATGATCTCACAGCACTTTCATTTTTCCATGTAATACTTGTTTTTGTTTTTAAAAGCTATTATTATTTTGTTATTATGTACATATTTTAACCTGTGTATATTGCTTGGAAGTTTACTGCACACAGACACTATTTAAATTTATAAATGAATAGTGATGAATCTCTTAAACTGAAGTAGCAAATAGAGAAGGGAGTTTAGACACATCTGGATATCACAATCACTCTTTATTGATCTTCTTCATACCATAATGGGATATATATTTGCTTGCAAACCCAGCTATTTCTTTGCAGAGCCAAATCCCACATGAAAGACTGAAAGAAAAACTGACAAGTGTTTGGGGAAGTATTGGACATTTTGGTACGTGAGTCTCCCATAAATGTCCTTTGTTGTGAGATTATAGTGTTATGTCTGATTATATAGATTTCTTTAACTGGCTTGGAAATAATGGATTTTCTGACATACAAATTAAAACTTTAATGTAGGTGGAGAGGGGAGAAATAGTTATGAATAATGATGCAAGAGATAATTTATAGGTCAAAAAAAGATTTTGTCAATGTTTCTGACTTTGCGTCTGACAACTAACCATAGTATTATGTTATGACATAATAATGGCAGAAAAAATCCTGCAATGTAGAAAACAAAGGCAACCTTATTAAGGAATAAGCTAAGAGCTGCAAAATTCATTTAATTTAGGAATGCCTAATGATTTCTAGATAAGCTATGTTTTATAGGCCAGTTCTTCTAACTCTACGTAAACCAAATGAAAACTTTTTTTTATCTGCTACAGACAACCCTTTTTGGTGCCTACTCTTTTGTGTGAAACAATACCTGGTCTTGACATTTGGGACAAATCCACATGCCCTTAGGGATAGTTTTCAGAGGTGGGTCTAGACAGTCCAAGTGATATACACGTGAGCATGTGTCACACATAAGTAGCTGGCCACTTTTCCTGCAAACACTGCAAAAATCTTCATGGATATCACCCTATAAAATAAAGGAAAACAGGGAGAAAGGTTTTTTTTTAAAAAAAAAATATTTGCAATCTATATTAAAAATTAAAGTAAAGTGTATGCATGAGAGAATCCTATGTAAGAAAGAAAACTACCCAAAGTATAACTTGTTCCATGTTCATCGTAAAAATTATTATGAAAATTTGCTACATAGTTTAAGATATACCACTTTTTCTAGTAGACTTGTCAAGCAAGAACATTATTTCTTTTGTTTCTATTGTTTATGAATTCAGTCCAAAGACAGATCTATCTGTTTCTAGTTTAATTAATCTGGGATATCAGTAAAAGAGCAACCAAAACAGATCTCTGTGATAAATACTTCTCAGCTGAAATATGTGAAGTTGCTAGACTAGAGTTACTGTGTTAATTCATGGATACCTTTATATCACAGACATTTTAATTTTAGCATATTATACAAATATAAAGATTAAAAGAAGTCAAAACAGTATGATTTATGTTGTTTGCTTAGCTAGTATTCTATGACTATCACTAAGTATTTTGCATCTTATGATTTATGATGAAGTGTTGTATTTTATGATTTATGATGAATGTATTTTCATGTTGTTTATGATCATGATTATCACTATTACTTTTATGTACACTGAGAGCTTATGCACCTGAAACAAATTCCTTGTGTGTCCAGCTACTCTTGGCCAATAAAGAATTCTATTCTAAAATAACAAGGTAAGAAGAGTGGAAAGGATATTACTATACAATATTCTTTTTGATGAGCTGAAGGCAATTCTGACAAGTTGCTACAACTTTCTAAAATTCTACCAATTTAGAAGTAAATAGTAAGATCTGTAAAAGTAGCCTATTCTCTATAAAATATGGCATTCCATAGGAACTTGAATAGTGGTAAATGAGCTGATTCACAGCTTGCAAACTGGTTCTGAATTATATAAGCTATTTCACATTATCCTTAAAACAATGGTAGGCTACCTTTATTATGAGTAATGTATTAAATAATGACAGAGAATCAACCATTTGGGAGATGGGATTACTCCCAAGCATTGGCTAATTAATTAAACTTTTTAACTACATGAAAATCAATGCTTCATACTCTGTAGGTAACATCTTTAATTTCCAGCACGAGTATGCTATCTTGACCTATGAATTATCTGGTTCCACAAATACAATGCAGCAAATGAGTGATGAATTCCTAGGGCTCAATTTAAGTAAGAAATATTGGGGATGAGAGATTAAGTTTAAAAAAAACCTCTCAGGCCTATCCCTGATCTCCCCTAACCCCAATTTTATCCAATTGATCACAGTTGAGGCCAAAAGTTCCATTGCTAAGCAACACTGTTGTTAAGTGAGTTTTGTTCCATTTTATAACCCTTCTTGCCACATTTGTTAAGTAAATCACCACAGTTGTTAGAAACATGGGCGTTAAGTGAATCAGACTTCCCCTTTGCTTGCCAGAGGGTCGCAAAAGGGGATCACATGACACTGCAAGCATCATAAATACATGCCAATTGCCAAGCATCCAAATTTTGACCATGTGATTATAGGGATGCTGCAACTGTCATTTTTTTTCCAGTGCCATTGTAACTTCAAACGGTCACTAAACGAATGGTTTTAAATCAAGGACTACCTCTACATAAAATCAGTTTCACAAAAATTAAGGGAGGTTGGGCAGGGTTCAAATGATAGGGGAATCAGTACTCTTAACTTGTACAGTCATGTGAAAAAACACATAAACCCACATAAAGTGTTTTCTTTTTTAATATTTAGTATTATTATTTTAATCTTCATTCAAACAGTATATAAAAGTGATGTGACTGAACAAAAAAGCTATGAAAACTGTTTTTGCATTCATTTATTCAACAACAAAAAACCGGATATACCATTTCTTTCTGTGGAAAAAACAACCTTGGCTTTAATACCTGGTATTGCCCCTTTTGGCAGAAACAGCCTGAAGTAGGTGATTCTTTATAACTGTCTAGAGCAGGGGTAGGCAACCTTGGCTCTTTTATGACTCGTGGACTTCAACTCCCAGAATTCCTGAGCCAGCCATGCTGAGGGGAAAGGGAGAGGTTTCCATGCTGGCTCAGGAATTCTGGGAGTTGAAGTCCATGAGTCATAAAAGAGCCAAGGTTGCCTACCTCTGGTCTAGAAGTTTCTAGCATAGACTGGGAAGAACTTTTCCCCCAATTTCTCTACGCAGATTTAGGGTCATTGTCACGCTGAAAGATCCATTTTCAGTTGAGCTTCAGTGTTCTGACAAATGATCTCACATTATCTTCAAGTACCAATGAAAAAATTCTAATGGATTCTATGGTGCTGATATAGCAAAGCTTTAATCACCATGCTTTATGGTTAGTAAGGGTGAAATGTCTTTTGGTACTGTGCCAAATAACTCATCTTTGCTTTTTCTGTCCGGAGCACATTATTTCAGAAGTCTTTGTCTTTAGTCTAGGTGTTCACGAGCAAATTTTAGTCTTGCCTTGGGGTTCTTTTCGGACAGCAAATTTTTCCTCCTGGCACTCTTCCCCAAATGGGACAACTTGCCACAGCCTACTCTCCGTGGCCAAAACACCACAGCCAACTCACCGCGGGAGAACTCAGTGCAGGACAATTCAACAAATACAAAAGTTAAATTAATTTCAACAGAACAGTGGCCAATAATAATAAAATAAAGTGAATCCAAAAATAGAAGAGTTACAATAATTTTGATGAAAACGTTGTCACCAATAATAAAAATAATTGATTGAAACAATTAATACAGAGTTGAATTGTTTTGTGACGAGTTTGCTACGGCAAGTTGTTCCATGGTGAGTTGGTTGTGGCGAGTTAGTTGCAAGTTGGCTGTGGCGAGTTGGCCATGACGAGTTGTCCTAGACCCCATACATCCCATGTAGATCTAATATGAGCAGCTTCTTTCTAATGATATACTCATACATCTTGACACCAATAGTGGCAAGAACAATGAGTAGGCCACGTGAAAAAATTCTAGGGTTTTTGGAGACTTCTTTCAGAATCTGTTGTTCTGCTCTCAGACTGAACTAGCTGGGGTGGCCTGGCCTAGACAAGTTGCAAGTGTTTGAAATCTTCTCCACTTCCATATGATCTTCCATAAAGTAGAATGATAGATGTCCAATTGTTTGGTCATCGTTTTAAATCTCTTCCCAGATTCATAGGTATCTATAAATTTCTTTCTGAAGGACTCAAAGAGCTCTTTCGATCTAGACCTATTGATACCCTACACTTCAACAACGAAGAGCAAATCAAACCAAATGCCAGAGATTTCAATAAGACAGGTTCCTTCCAGATTCTCTCTAATAATCTTCTAATCATTTGCATTTGATCTGGTGCACCTGATTTTAATTTTATTTGAAGTAATGATAAAAGTGGGGTGTATTTACTTTTTCCACATGTGAAATTTACATTTTTATTTATTTAAATTACAAAATGGACTACAAAATATGAAAAGTATGTGATATTTGTTATATCCATTTCTCTATCAATATTATTGAAGTGACAATCAAATATTTGTATGTTGAAATATGGTAAAAAAATTAAAAGTTTCAGTAAAGTGTACTTATTTTTTCACATGACTATAAAATCTGCATTAGCTATTATTAGTGCTATAAATACATTCTTGTATCATTTGAAGATTCAACACAACTTGTAACGTAAATGTTTAGAACTCTAGTGAACAGTTATAATGCCCCCAGCCCTGAAATGTTGTGATTAACAGAGAGCAAACAGAACACACAACTGCTCTGTAAATATATAACAAGCTCAGTCTAGGTGATGGTGAAATAAAATAGGAATTTCATCACTATAAAAAGTTCAGACTATTATCCAAAAGCAATGGCAAAAAATTCTTTGCTTTATTCAAAGCAGAAAATCTCAGATAAGCATGCCATCTTTTTCTTAATCTGTAACAATGTTAAGAAATATCATGTATGCATGTGTGCATATATGTTTTTATCAAATTTTCTTCTGTGTGTTCAAAATCAATTTTTAGTATTGCCTTTTGGCAACTTAGAAGATTCCATCAAATATAACATTTTTAAAGACCTGAACAACGTGAACAACGTATTCTTTTTAGGATTCCATCTTAACTTTATCTTTCGTCATATTTCATGATGCAGTGAATATATCATTTAGTTGTTGACTTGATTATTGCTGGCTGCCACAGCAACGACCAATTTGTTACAAGAATTTCAAGCTGCTTATTTAGTGAGTTAGATGTACAGAAATATTCTCAAGACATATTTACTGTAATATAAAGTGTAACATGCATATTTAAGTGGAATGTATTATTTGGGATTTTAAGCAGCAAATAACTAGTTAAACTGAAAAAAATAAAATAATAGAAAAGTAATGCGACCTGATTAAAGATATGAATCCAGAACTTCCAGTTCTAAGTTATTATCATGAGAACCAATGTTGTTCCTATGAATGTTAATTATACATATCAGTGAAGGGTTAGAACAATTTTTACACAACAAATCTGTATCAAACAGAGGACTGATTTTACAGAGCGCTCTGTAGCCCTGAAGGCTAAAGAGAGCACAATCCATTGTCCAGGAATCTGTAAAGCACAAGACGCTGCCAACAGCCATTGAAACTATTCGCCCGCATATTGATTTGGTGAAGCCTGAGGAATTAATTCATTCTTTTCTTGATGTTTAATACACATCATTAGTTCTTTTTATGATCTGAATGACAGGACACCAAAGAAACCTGATTTCCTTCCTGCCACTCCATTGCTAAAACATGCACACACTGCATCAACCTCTCTGTGCATCTGAAGAGATGGATGGAGGGAAAAATATCCTCCTAGAGATCCTAGGACACTATAGAATCCATCTAGCCTTGGAAAAATGGCAAGGAGAGGGGAAATAGGCACAAATATCAGTAATGCAAAGTCCAGCAGAGGAGTGAACATTTTGGTGCAATATAAAGTATTCCCCCCAAAAATAATTCTGAAGTTTCTGCACAGTAGCTTTGCTTCAAACCGTGCATAATTCAGCAAGAATTACTTACGTCCATTGAGCTGGGGCTGGGTAAGGATACAGGCTGAACAGTTGCAGGGAAAGTAAATGTCTCTGCCTTTTCATTTTCAGGGGAATCGGGATGGCTGGACAGAGGGGATGTGGGGGTCAGAGCCCCAAATCCCAGCACAGTGTTGTATTTAGGTGGACGACCTACATATTAACAAAAGGAAACAAAAAGGGGAGGAAAATAATCTTACATACCTTTGGACATTGCTCCTCATTGGCTAGCATGAAAAAGGAAGCGATGAGGTACAGAGAGGTAGTTAGTATAATAGTCACAAGTGAAAGGAAGCCAAGATTCTCACATTAATTTTAAGACATTTACAAGAATAATTTCAAAAAGGATATTATGAGAAAAAAACCCTGCAGTTCCTCAGTAGGATAAAAGTGGCTATTCCTAACAATGGTATGTCATTTCAGTTTTAATGTTTTGAATGTTCAGTCTTTCCCTCTATATCAAGCCCCCAATTGACTTCTATCAAAAGTTGCCACGATCCATACACCTTAGATTGAAATATCATCATAATCCTTAAAACAGGACCTAGTAAATACTTTATTCATTTTCTAAGTCTCATTTCCTCTTTTTCTTAGAAATCTGAAAAGCTGAGATATCATTTGGAGGCTATCCATAACATTTTCATTTAGGCAAGAATATTGATAATGGATTTGGAAAATACTTTTGGTTGATTAAGAAATATTTTTAAAAAGTATACTGAGTCTAAACCAATCATAAATGTAAAGAGAACTTTTGTTGTTCATAAAATAACTATGACATAAAATTGCCTATTACTCTAAAGTGAACTATTATTCTAATTGAAAATATAACCCTATAGTTTTTTTCTAATAGTCTTCTGATGATTGATAAACAAAATTACAGACCAAAAGATGGAAACCTGAAATTAAGCATTCATAGGTAACTTTTTTTAGTTAAATTGTACCAAACTGGTAAAGAGTGATAGAAACAAATATAAAAGTTTCTTTTACGTGATTAAGAACAAAATGCCAATAGCAATGGGAAAAAATATGTCAAATCCACTTTACTTTTAATGACATATTTTGGAAAAGGAAAAACCTGCACAATGGAACCCGCAATTGACTCTTACGCCTTTTAACCACTTATATTCATATATACAGAACATTCAAGTACGTTATTAGAAGCACAATTTCAATTTCATCAATACACATTTTAATTACAAAGTATTGTTTTAAAATTGCAGTTATTTTTCTGAGTTTGAGGTTTTAACTGTCAGAATGGGAGTGGTTTGTCTCATAGAGGAAAGGTATTTAAAAATCTGCCAACCCTGAATGCCGTTGTACAAATTTATAATTATCCCTGTATCTGGAATACTGTGTAGAGTTCTGGTTACTGTATTTGAAAAATAAAATAATAAAAGTGGGAAAAGTACAGAAAAGGACAACTAAAATTATCAAGATGCTCAAGCACCTTTCTTCTTTGAAAAAGGTGTAATATTTCAAATTGTTTAGCTCAGGAATGGGTAAGTGATAGGACTCAGATGCATAAAATCATGCATGCCATAGAAAAATAAGACATTTTTCTCTTTCTCTCAAAACTTGGAAACTTTTAGACTTAAGACACCATAACTTGATTCCACTTTCTGTTTAGCATGAATACATTTCTTCACTCAATTTTCATTTTTCTTTATGACCATATGAGACAATTTATTCACCAAATGATTCTATTATTGGCCATTTTCATAAATCCCCACAAGCTTGTTTTCTGTGGTTCCTTATATTACCCTCTCTTTTTTGCTTTATTTCTTCTTTGGTTCAATGCTATTTCTACTTTTTGCCTTTATTAAGGATTATAACTTTGGCTCTGACTAGAGTTGTTCTAATGCACATGTTATGTTATATATAATTATTTTTAACAAGGAAACAAAAGTATTGTCCTTCATAGCATGAGAGCTTTATTTTTTTCAGTTTTGTATGATTTTTTTTAAATGACTCATTGGTATTTGTGATTGCGCTGTTAAGTAGTATATCAATGTTTAGCAAACCTCAATAGTATTTATATCTTTTTCCTATGCTGGGTATTTTGGCCAAACAATAGTTTGTAGGAAATATTGCTGCAATTCCAAGAGGTCAGCTAATGAAGCTAACAGGAAGGATATTTAGAATGGACAAGAAGTTATTCTTCATACAATGCAAAATTAATCTGAGGAATTCATTATCAAAACATAAAGTTATGGATACTAACTTGGATAGTGTGTACAGTTAATTAATACAGTTACTGTATTAATTTTGAAAATTCTACACTACATCTGTGCAGGGTAAGGGATACCTCCAAATATTAATTGAAAAAGAACAGCAGGAGAGGAAAACATCTCCATATTCTTTATATGACTATCATGGAAGCATGTGGTTGGCCACTGTGAGAAACAAAATCCTGGATTATGATGGGCCTTGGCTGAAACCAGTAAGCTTTTCCTCTGTTTATATGATTATTTAATATATCTGATTCATGTACCACCCCTTTTCTTAATTAGAAATTTACCTCGTTTACGTGTCCCAGGATGCATTGTGCTGTTCAAGTATGTGACCGCACTCTTCTTGCGCTTTGTAGAAAATAGGAACAAAGCAATTATTAAGACTTTTTGTTAACTGAAATCTATAGAATCACCGATGCATATATAACATAAATATGCTTTACTACTAAAATAATTTCTAAAAATTCGAGCAAGCTTTCAGTATTTTAAAGAATGCATTCATCATTGTGTTAACTAGAACACCTACTCCAGAGAACTTGGACTTTCATGAAAACACCCACAGAATACAACAGACGTATTTCCACTAACAACAAGAGAATGATTTGATGCTAAATCTTCATCATTCAACAACTAGTCTATAGATTCTAGAAATACATCAAAGCAATCCAGAACTGTCTATTTAGTTTTCTGGTGTCTTTGAGGGTGGGTATAGCTGAACCATTAGGCAATGCCAGTAGCAAATGCTGCAGATCATGGAGTGGCAGTTGAGTGCTGGAAAGCAGAGCCATCCAAAATTAGCCTGCTTCTCTCAGATGCAGTAAGAACAGCCATCATTCATAGGAGTGATTTGCTAAACATGAAACTTAGAAGGGAAATAACTTTAACCTTCTTTTTAGGCTAGTTTGACCATCCCATGTCTGTATGAGTGGACTCGAGCGCATCAAAGCGAGTTCTAATATATAAATAAGAGATTGCTACCTCAGGCTCAAAAACAGCTCCACTGTAAACTGGATTTGCTGTGGTTCTTCGTTTTCTTTCTTGTCTTTTACTTTGTATTTCTTGAGGAAAGAAATAATTTGGTTAGAACATTTCCAAGCACACAAGATTTTGTTTTAGAGTCTGAGAAACTAGGAGTCAGAATCTATCATTTCTGAAAATCCTTGCACAAAGATAATCCTAAAGAAACAGCTGTATTACATAAAAATAGAGTGAAAATACATCAGTACATGATACCAATTCAACTTAAAAGATTACAGCCTACATCTTGAAAAATCTAACTTTATATTTTTTATCAACTAATGAAACACACAAAATTTTCAAATGAGAATTAGTGCAAGATTTATTATAGTTTATCAATTTTTACCATGAATATTGCAAATTAATGATGACAAAAAGTATTAAAGTCAAAATCAACAGCTGCAGAGAAGTGTAAAGACCTATTCAGTTGCTCAATATATATTGCAACTCTTTCCATGCAGTAAGTTTATAAATATTCAAGGGTTATTTTTTTAAAAAAAACCTGCAAACACATGTATAGAAAAATGCATCAAAATATATGTAAACATCTCATTCACTATCATTTAGGAGTAAATAAAATTATTTGTTGAAATATTTAAACAGGTCTTAAATTAAAGAAACCCCTTTTATCAAACGTATCTAAAACCACATTAGGATTTAGGTCCACTTATTAAACCAATTTTTTAAAATATATATTGCAAATGATAATAACTTTCCATTTTTAATCATATGAGAACATTTATCATGTTTGAGTTCTTCTTAGAATATGTTAAGCACATCATTCTTTCTGGGTAGTATAAAACTTATTTTGTCTACACTCACACTAAATCCCTAGCATTTCTTTGAAAATAAACCCAATAAAGCAAAATGAAATTTTTCCCTATTAATGGGTCTTGATGTTTTTATTGGTTAAAAAAGCAATGAAAAAGCATCTTGATTATCTTTTTACCTTCCAGATGATCATGCGTAACTAGTCCAAGAGAAACCATAAAGGCAAGTTTCTGAATTAAGAGAAACAAAAAATTGAAATCACACAGTATTATAGAAAATCAAATTAGCTGATAATAGTAATTTCTTAATACAAATAATTCAACAATATGTATCAACTGTATATCTCAAAATGATAGTAGAAATCATAACAACCATGCATCTTTACACAATAATATTGTACACTACTGTATATTGTAACCATGCATTTTTATACAATACTTAAGAGTCTCAAACAAATAGGACTTAATAAATTTAATTCTGATGATTTAGGACACTGAAACAGTTCTATGGATCATATAACAATTTTACTCTCTAAACAGTTAGCTCCTTATATATCCACAAGTTTTCTAAGTTGATTTTTCCTATAAATATTATTTTAATGTTTCATTTTTGAGATATTGCCAACTCTCATCCCAACCTTTTATTTATGATATTCCTAACCGTCACCCTTTGACCTCAGGATTTCCGTCTGAGGTATTTTGCCTATAGTCTCTAAACTTATTAAAGTAGCTCTCACTCTTTTTACTTCTTCAGTCAATGTTTGATTAGGATCAGATCTAGGAATATTAATCCCAGAAGGTCTCTTTTTTTCATTTTCTGGAAAATGAATTGGTCAGCAAGACCTCTTAAGGAATTTTGGGACTCGGTAGTTTTGGCTGAGTTGGTTTTTCAAGATAGGTCTGGACAATTAAAATGTCATCTTCAATCTTTATTTCTAATCATGAATTTGATCCTACTAGTTTTCAGTAATACCAACTAAATCATATTTTTCCCGCATTAAGAGTTTAGTTATTCTAACTTGTGTCCCACGCTTTGTGCATTTGTGTAACAATGCTGGAACACTTAGTCATATAACTTGATCTATTCTTTCTGGTATTTCATGCTCATTTTTGATACCACTACATTCTGTACTTCCTTACCAGCATTATACTATTTTCAGTTATATCCTCTCCTTCTCCTATAGGATTCAGTCTTCTTGACCAGGTTTGCAAAATCTCTTCCAAACATATCCTCCCAGTTCTCATAACATGCAGCCTATTTCTTGCCAGGAATCCTAAATAATGCATTCCAGTATCAAAGAAACAAAAGCATTCTCATTGGTACCTAATCAGTATATCTAATTGTTCCTTTGGAGAATTCTCTTTCTAAGCTATGTCCTTTTACATGAAAGAAGAAAAAGAAGACAAACCAAGCCCCAAGTAACTTTGCCTTCCTATCCAGTGCTTCTTAGTCCTGCAGTGATTTCAAGATTGTATTTGGCTGTATATTTGTTCCCATATGGATCAGAAGGAAGGGATATTTATCTTTGGGTGGGAAAGCTTTTTGTGGTGACATTCCAAGTGTGTGCCCAGAAAAGCACCATACTCCTCTTGATAGACTGGCTGGCTAACCGAGCACCATCGCCACTTGTTTCCTTTTGCAGAACCTGTAGCACCCCCTTCTTCAGATTTATGGCAGCTGCTTTTCTTTCAATATGGAAATATAATAAACAGTGAGGTTCTGGAATCCAGATTACTTTTCTCTATCTCTCCAATCCTTCCATTTTGCTTTCTCTATTTTCCAGGGGGCTTTTTAATTCAGCTGACTTTCCACAAATACTTCCTATGACCTATTTATGAATCCCCTATCTCCCCTGATAAGCCAGGGAGTGAAAATTTTATCTATAGTTCTTTCAACCTCTCTTCCAGGATGGTAATCTTTTTGCATTTGTAGCACTGGAATTTCCCCACCAATCTCCCGTTTGTCTGCTACTGGGGAGCTGGGTTCTGCACAACCTTCCTCACAACTAGATCCACAGCAAGAAATGTCCAATCATGTACAATACGCAATCAGCAGCCCAAGGGACTATCAGAAAAACAGTCAGCAGAAGCCCCAAAATGCTTTCAAAAGTCAAGTTGTCTTTTGAAAAGCACCTTTGCGACAATCATGACCTGGATGATTGAGAATCTCCATAGACAGTCAGCAGAAGCAGTCAATCAACAGTCTTTATCTTCCCTGACTTTTTCTCTTTTATTCTGTCTCTCCTGCCTCTTCCCTATTCTTAATCAAACTTCCTTGGCAAGCTCCTATTTATTTACTCAGTAAACCCATTCTCTAGGGAGCCGACTTCCTTACATGTCATCTGAAGCTGCCCCAAATTGCTCGCTTATAGTATATTTTATATCCATCTTGGGAATAAAGTAGCAAGTAACAGATTTTCCCAGTTCATCCTAAGAAAAGGTGGGATAAAATGATATAAATAAAAGAGCATAAAATAATTTCAAAGATTAGGGTTCATATAAATGATAATGCTTTGTTTAATTACTCAAAACTGTGGCCATCAGAAATATGTAGGAATTAACACCAGAGTAGCATGTAGTTCTTAAAATGTTGGGTTTAATGTGGTAATTCAAATCTTTGTGGCATTAAGTCCCCTAATAAAAGACATTCAAACTAACGTCATGTAATTTCTAATAAAGCAGGAACGCAATGTCATACATAGCCAGGTTGTTAATAGATTATTTTAAAGATATTATTTTAAAGATATTCTTTTAAAGGCTTCAAATATATGTTTCCTTATTTATTTGCTACATGCATAGGCCACCTTCCTTTCAGAAGCTCAAAAGAATGTACACAGTTTTCCTTTCTCCAATATTTCCCATGATAATACTGTAAGGTTGACTACTAGACCAACCGATAATTACTAAGTAAAACTCAGTGAGAACCTGTCCCTGAGGGTGAAGTAGCACTTGTTTTACCCACTATACCACACAGATTCTCTGTATAGTGAAGTATATGACTGGCAATTTCCCTCACTTATTTATTCAGGGATACTGAGATACAACTGGATGATGCCTTTTCCTGCTTTTCATAGTGACTATGGGACTGACTATGGGACTATGCGTTATTGACCCAGGACATACAGTTAGCATACCACTGATTTTTCAGCTCTATGACCTGATAGTTAAGTAACATTTAAAAAATCCAATCATCATAGGTAGGTCATCTTTCTGGCAACCACCATCCCTTGCAGGGATAGATATCCTATTAAAATAGTCCACTCCAAAAGATTTATGAAATTTGAGGAATTCCTGAAAATTCTGAGGAGATTTCTAGCAGTTTGGACTGGTGATCATGTTAAAGGCCTTCACATAACTATGAAACAAATGAAAAAAAGATATCTCATCAACATCCCAAGCATGAGTCTAAGGCTATGGCAACTGAAGGACATTTCAAGCCAAGTAAAATCTCCTCTAAAGATTATGAGACACATTTAACCCTTTTTTTAAGTTGAGACCGCTGCGATCTTAAAATTGGAGTCTTTTACTTTTTATTCCAGATTTTTTATCATTCAATTTTTATATTATTCAATTGTTGGTTAACTTCTATGAATTTTTTTTAATATACTCCAGAAGAGTAGAGGCTTCTGGGGCCATCAAAACATCAGGTCCAAATTGTGAAAAATAACAAATACTTTAAGTGGATACCTTTGGGCAAGTTATTTGCCCAAGTCTCTTTGGGCAGATTACATTCTTTTTGTACTTCTCAGTTATAGAAATATAATTAATAAAATCCTTACTAATGTGATCTTAACCTCTTTTCAGCAGAAATTTTCAATAACTAAAATTAAACATACAAGCATTTTATCCAACATTTGTAAATAGATATCACCCCATAGAATATTTATTTCTTTTCCTTCCTTTCTTCCTTTTTCTTTCTCTTTTTCTTTCCTTCCTTCCTTCCCTTACCAACCAACCAACCACAATGTATGTTACTCTATTTCCAGAGAAAGTATTAATATATTAAAAACAAAAATAAAAATAATTATCCTTTTTTATAAGATCAAATTTGAATCTCTTTTTTGAATAACATTCAAATAAATCTGGATGCCTTTAATACTTGGAAATACACCTCAGTTCTGATTAAAAGTAGAACTTGCCAGGATTTAAAAGAAGCAAATAATAACTTCGTGGTGGTAGCCATAGTATCTTAAGTTTGGTTTATGTAGCCATACCTTTTAATTTTTTTTTTAAAGGTAATACATTTGCTCAATGGTACAACTAAAATTCTGCAAAATAAGAAGCTCCATTTTCATATGTAATTAGAATTTCAAAGAAAGAACTTGGGGTCTGACCATTCTATTAAAAGGTCATCAGAAACTTATTGATGTGTTTAAAATATCTAGCTGGAATTAATACAGAGACATCTCTCTTAAATTTGTAAACTAATCTTGAAATTAAATTCATTTTCACCACATTTATTCTTCCCCATAAATTCATAAGTATTTTCAACTGTCTGTTAGTATCACTGTTAATCTGAATTATACTGCCGATTGTGTTAACATATACCTTAAAGGCATTATAGAAGAATTATTCCCAGATATTTAAGAGATTTCAGGTAATAAACAAAACCCAAATTTTTGCATATTAGCAACGGACAATATATCAGATTACTACCCAGAAAATAATATTTTAACTATTAATACCTGTGGGTTTTCTTCTCGTTTTGGCTTGGGAGGTGCAGGAGAGGTAACAGTATGAATCTCTGTTGGCTTCTCCTCTTTTTCTACTTGGGGTTTGACTGTCTGAAATACAAATAACTGGATATATATACTCCTTGATTTAGCAATGCCTTTTATTAACCAGAATGACAACAATGGTGAAAACCCTTACTTGTGTGAAAATATCCCAAATAATACCTAGTTTTTCATAAGACCACGCCGCCACCCCCAAACTCCAACACTTAAGTAAAAGACCTGGGAAGCAGAACTATAGATGAGTTGATATTTTAAAGAATGATCTCCCTGTAAAGCTTCCTTAGACACCATTTTGTTAGGAACAGGCACTCTGCACTCCTCTTTATGCTTTAGTATTAACACGAAATGTGTCTGAAAATTAGTTCTCCATGATTCCTGAAAGAGCAAGTTTTTCTGAAGTATATTTACATACTATATAGCAGGATCCTTTGCATATAGCATCCTAAGTGCCTCCACAATGACACAATAATCACTTTATGACATGGATGTGAAGTCATAAAGTATTACCAACTTGTTCCAAGGAGACAAAGATAATTTCTGTATGCTATATGAGCAATATATGGAATATGGATATGGATTGGTTTGTACTTAATAGTAAGCCACATTGTGATTTGTTCATTTTTGGTTTAGTATGCCATACAAACTAATCTGCTATAGATTTTTCAGTAAAACTTAGTTAAAATCTATGATTATGGGTGAATATTGGCTATGTCCGAAACATTAGTTTTAACTAGTCTGGCATGACTGTGAAACAGCACTGGAAATATTTGGCGCTATTTACTGAATAAGTCAATCATGGTTAAAGATATTAAAAATACAACTAAGTCTCAATTAACACTGATGGTGGTTCTTTATTAGTTCAAAAGGGAAGGAAATACTACCCCTTCCCTTCTGTGCAAACTAGAGTATTAATTTGATATATGCTGATTTTCTGTTCATATTTTATTGTGAATTAATGCACATGTATGTTGCACCTTCCTAAAAGAGACAAAAAGTGGATCACATTCCTCATGCATCAATGGAAAATTTGTCAAGCTTAAAAAAGATGTATTGCCAGGAAAATGATAACTACTTCTGTTATGTTAGGGCTATGTTCTTTCAACTATCCAGATTGCAAAGTATTTAAATACCATTGTGTAACCAAAAAATTAGAGGTTGTTATAAAATTGGTATCTCATCTTGAAGTCAGTTGAATTAGAAAAGTTAGCAAAATAATGGAAACATACTCTTGCTGATGAAAATTGTATACTTAAGCAAAAAAAGCAAGCAAATTATAATAGCTCTGATGGACTGTAAATAAAAATACAGACCAATCGAATAGCATTCCTCTAGCTGTACCTGCTTCTCAACATTTGGTTTGCTGATCTGTAGAGTCTGAGGTCCAGCAAGCCTGGCACCTGGGGCTGCTATAACAATGCTGGTGAGTTGTGCCATTGGAAAAGTTTTGGCTATGGTTGCTGTTTGCCCATTCACAACACGAACTGGGTGGATGGAATTCTGGGTAGAAGGTAAGGAGGTCGGAGTGAACTTTGTGGTCAACATCACAGGCCTCTGAATAAGTTGAGGAGCAGCAAGCATAGGAGGAGGTGGGGCTGGGGCTATAGGTATATTATTCTGGGCAACTGGTTTTGGTCGAACCTACAGATAGAGAGAGACAGAGAGACACAGGGAGAGAGGGAGAGAGATCAGATTATTTCCAACAAACACAACTTAGCACACAACAGTATTTATGTTACTCAAAGATATGTATCAGCACAAAAATACTTAATTTGAAATCTGTCTCAAACTTGGTTGATTCCAAATACAATGGTTGTACATGGAACCAAAAACTGTTCCTTGTCTTTGTCTTACGCACGGTCACTCATGCCCTTGTCACTTCCCGCCTGGACTACTGCAATGCTCTCTACATGGGGCTCCCCTTGAGGAGCACCCGGAGGCTCCAGCTAGTTCAAAATGCGGCCGCGCGGGCGGTGTTGGGAGGGACTCGTCGCTCCCATGTTACGCCGCTTTTGCGCGAGCTGCATTGGCTGCCGGTGGCCTTCCGGNGTCAGCCAGACAGTGCCGGCTGGCGACCCCAAGGGGGAGGGCCTTCTCTGTGGGAGCTCCCACCCTCTGGAACGAACTGCCCCCAGAGATCAGGGTGATCCCTGATCTCCCTTCCTTCCGCCGCGCCCTCAAGACATGGTTGTTCCAGCTTGCAGGACTGGCCTAAGGGATTTTAAAGGGGTTTTAATTACTTTTAATCAGATCAGATTTAAATATTTCTTTTTAATTAATTTTAAAGGTGTATTGTATTTTTGTATTTTATCTGATTGTTAGCCGCCCTGAGTCCGTAAGGAGAAGGGCGGGATATAAATGTAATAAAATAAATAAATAAATAAATAAATCAGGAAACTTCACACATTATTATTCAGACTAAAGCAGGGGTGTCAAACTGCCGGCCCGCAGGTCAGACGTGTCATGTGGAAGCCGTGCTCACCCCATTGCCGGCAATTGCAAAACAGTCCCGTGACGTCGCGAGTTTGACATGTCTGGACTAAAGAGATAATATCACCTTATAAGTGAGCTTGTAATAAAAAATAGAGTGGGTCATGTGATTTTTGAAGTCCTGATGTGGCAGCATAGAATACATTGAATTTTGATGCTTCCGGTTTTGCGTTGTGGTCAGACAGACGCAGGAAGGCAAAGCTCTGCCTTCTGCGCCCAATTTTGCCCTGCTGGGGGCCCTGAAAAGGGCCTAAAGTTGCCCCGAAGAGGCAATGAAGGAGGGGTGCCTTGTCGATCACAGAGAGACAGCGGTCTCTCCGTTTGATCCAAGGAAAGCCCTCTAAACTGGCAGGGGAAAGACCGGCCACACCTCTGCAGCCGGCCATTAGCTGCTGACAACCGAAGAACAAAAGCTTTAATTAGCACATCGTAAACAGCATGTTTGGACTAGGTGAGAATATTGATCCTTTCTTTATTATTTTACAACTGAATTTCCTGGGAAAGGCTCCCAAGAAACCTAAAACCTCCAGATATGAACAGAAGCGGCGTTTTAAATTTGTTATGGGGGACAGAAATACATAATACTGAAGTGAAAGTAACACAAAACCACAGTTTTGATCAATCTGAGAACTGAGATAATTGTTAAGATTTTCTCTTGGAAAAAAATATTGAGGTGAAATATAAGAAATCAACCCTTTGTTTTAAGAGTGGAAAATGGACTTTGCATGACATCTAGTGGTGGATTTAAGTGCAGCACCATAACTAGCTCTTTGGCTGCTTGGTACAGCTGGCAATAAAGGAAAATATTTTGGCTTATTTATCATTCTGCCCTTCTTGGACTATAAATACCTACTGAGCTTGGACTTTCCAATGCTATATTTTTTAAGAATATTAACAGTAAGAGGAATTATCTATGCAAAATAAATATAAATTAAATGCAGCTATGCTTATATTAACCCTACATCTCTGCGTTAATTGAGAGAATTCATACATTATTATTTTAAATGTTGAATCTAACATATTAGGATATTCTTTATATAATGTTCTTGACTTTATAATTCAGAGATGAAAAACTCTGAAATATAAAGTTCTCTAAAAAGGAGGGAATGGAGGTGAAGGAGACAAATATAACCTCACGGAGGTACAAGAATCATATATTGAAAGAAACAGTATTAGACATTCAAAGCACTGCATATAAGATGTTATACATATGGCTACTAGTTTTGGGATGCAAAATTCAGGACAACCATTACATTGCATCAAAATAATAAGAAAACTCTAGCTTTCTGCTGCAATCCAATAATTGTCTGGGTTTCTATACTCCCCTTGCACATTTGCCTTTAATATTTGGAGAGAACTTATTTCAGAAAGTTATTTGTTCAACTAATCTTCCCTTGACAAATTTGATCCTTTCTACACAACAGTAAGAGCAAATTACACTAAATTAAACTACAAACTCATCACAGTGGCAACAACTGGGTGGTGAACGCTTTATTGGCATACATTAGTATACCAAAAAGCAACAAAATTAAAAGCACATAATAAATACAGAGAAGCAACTGGGGCAATTGGGTACATCCCAGCAACAAAAAGCTAATTACATTCACAGTGTCAGTTAACTTCCTGACCTCCAAGCCTGGGAGAACCGCCAGATCTTAAGGGGTTTTTGAATGACAGAAGGGTTAGGGACAATGTGATCTTGGGTAGGAAGGATAGGTTCTGAGCCAGAAAAGACAAAGTTCCTGATCCACCAGATGACATCTAACTGACAAGGCCTGAAGCATACCTCTCTTGACAGACCTGATGAAGTGTGTAGAAACAATTGGAACAAAACACTCCCACAAGATGGCAAAAGTGGAGCTTTAATTTGAAAAAGAACCCATTGGGCAGAATTTATTGCTGGCAACCATGTCTGGACTGCAAGAATCCAACTCAACAATAGATTGCAGCTACAATGCTAACTCACTGCTGTTATTCAACAATATGAATGGGCGCTCCTGGTCATTCAGATTCATGCGACATGGATTTGACAGCCCTAATTCTTATTAAATGTGTGAAATATGTAATGTTGTCTTTTTCAAACCTCAAATCAAAGTTGTTTCTCACTGAGTTTGACACAATTTGGTTAGCTGCTATCTATTCTGAACAGACTCACCTGTGGAAGGAAATTTGGACGAGGAGTAAGTCTGGGAGGAGGGATGAACTGTGGCACTTTGATAGGCTGAGGAGCTGTAGCTTGAACCTGCTAAACAACACAAGTGAGCTCAGGAGGTGATGAAGCTAAAGAAGCTTTAAGCAAAGTATAGGTACGATGAATTACTTTAAAGTTATATAATGATAGCCAGCCTTTCCCATCACAAACTGATTCTGAAGAGTGAAACTGCCTTTCTTAGGAAGTATAAAGCTAGCCTTTTTGCTTGTCTCATAAATATGTAAACATATGTTATTACTGTAAGAGTGTACTGTACCAGTCATCTGAACCTTTTGAATTTTTATACATTAGCAGTTGCTCTATAATAATTAGAATATATTATCAGTCTTGTTACCCATCCAAATGATTTTTTACAAGAAGCTTAATTATGTTAAGAACATAAGCATTCATATTCAAAGTAGCCCAAACCACTGCTTTGCACAATGAGTTATTTTCTTTATTCTCCAGGAACGCGTAGGAAATAATTTATTACTAGAATGCTAAGGTCTTAAGTAGATTTACTTATAGCTGTATTTCTGGATTAATTCTCAAATGTTAACATCGGATGGCTCATATATTAAACATATACTGATAATCACTGTTATATTTCTAATGCAAATTGTATTTGTTTAAATAGCTGACTTCACATTCAAAATTAAAGTTTACATTTTAATAGGGTTCAATTGTTTGACATTTTGTCGACTGATCCTTGATCATAACAGTGCTTATAATTGTTATACAGTGAAAAAATGCTGGCAAGAAGTCATTGTGCAAGGTACCATTTTATGGACCCAGTGGCAGTAATATTTAATGAAGTTAAACAAGTCTTGGTGAGTTTTTTTTCCCCACAAGCAACAAAATTGAAAAAGTAAACTATGTCAGAAGTTATACCATTCAAATAAAGAGTCCCCAAGCATAAACTTCTACGATCAAGATTAAGGAATCTGTGTCCTTTCAGCAAGGAGAGTAAGAATCATATAGAAACAATTTAACATCTTATTACTGGAACATGTGTTAAGGATACATAGTTGTGTAGTACTGTAACAATATTAATCAGCATTGGAATAGTAATTAAAATTGAATTTTTTTAAAATAAGTGTGTAATTTTAATTTAAGCAAAACATATAAAATATATTCTCAAAGTATATAAATAATACACTCTATTCTCTAGTATACAGAACTTCATATTATGTTTATTATGAAAAATGGTTCAAGTGCTGAGCTACCCAGCTTGCTTACCAATGTGACTGTATTTTTTGCCACTATTTGTACTGCCTCTGTTCCTGGACCAGTGACTTTATTTGTTGTCTGGAGGTTGACAGGCGTGTTCTGTGCATCAGTGCTAAGGACAGTTTTCTGGCTGCTGTTGATGGCAGTCACCATGGCAATTGTAGGTCTTTGACCCACAACAGAGGCAGGCATGGTTGCTGTTGCTTTCAGAACAAGAGGTAGTGTCTTAGTGGTGATCATAGAAGCTGTAGTTACAGTTTTCTAAGAGAAACAGAAAACACATTTTATCTAGAAGACTGCACCACCCACTGAGAAAAATTTATTATTGAGAACTGTGAGAAAATAGAAGCAATACAGCACAATGGGGAAACTATGGAAAATTTGAACACTGATATCCTTCTCCTGGAATCAATATATTTATTAATACTTTATAGCAAATTTTATATACACTTGACAATTAATCATAAAGAAATACTAGGTCATGATTTGATCACAGTTGATGAAATATGCATAACAGTAATCAAGTTTTTGTTTACATCCTTCAATGTTTGCCTTTCAGCTCCTTGGAATATGTCTTTACCATATCTCTAGACTTCTGGAAAGGCATGTCTCTTCTTAACCATTTATATTGGTAATATCCAGAATGTTCAGTGCACAAGCTATCCTGTACATCAGACATGTGAAACACAAGGCCCGGGGGCCAGATGCGGCCTGCGAAGTGGTTTCATGTGGCCCGTGAAGTCATCCTGGAAACAGTGAGGGAACGGCCCCGGCTGTCTTGGCCCTGGCCCAGGCCGGCCGGGAGCCAATGTACAATTTTGTGGTGGCCATCTATGCTGAAAGGCATTCAGTCTTAGCAATACAAGGCCGTCTGGAAACAGTGAGGAACCAGCCCCTGCTGCGTCGGCCCCACCCCCTGGGTGCATGCTGGGGAGGTGTCACCCTTTGTGAGGAATGAAGAAATGCACCATCGCCTGGAAGTGGCCAGCAAATGGCTCTTGCCTACTTCACATATCTGGTTTGATGGGCTCTGCCCTGGTCCCACCCCTTTCTGCCAGAGACCCTCAGATCTGTCCCACTCCTGCCCAGGCCCCCACAGGTACCCTTGACGCGAATGATGTAGAGCTGGGCACGCCCACCCAGTAGGCCACACCCACTCCATCCATGCCCACCCAGTAGGCCACACCCACTCCATCCACGCCCACCTAGTAGGCCGCACCTACCCTGGCCATACACACCTGAGGGCAACCGCAATGCTGATGCGGCCCTCAATGAAATTGAGTTTGACACCCCTGCTGTACATGGAACAGGCAGAACTGGGTAATTCATGTTTGGAACATAACATACGTATTTTATCCAGACATAGACCCAGAATATATGTGTTCCAGATATAGGGCCTCTAGAATAAGACACAGAAGGGGAAAATAAAGCTATCAGTGTGTGTGGCAGCTAAGAAGAGATAAAGGTAAGGAAGGTGAAGAGAATATCCAGAGAGGGGTGAGTAGCTGGGCCAGTTGAGTATCCCATTCTTCAATTCAAGTGTGGCAATGAAAGGAGGAAATGGGAAGGCCAGGTGAGGGGCAAGTGGCCTGGTCATATAGGATGACAGCAGCTGCAGGGAAGAAAAGCTATGGGAAAAGGAGCAAAAAGTGGAATGGACCAGTCACTTATGCTGTGCTCAAATATAAAATGGTAGCAGGGAGATGTGCTGTGAAGATCCCTGGGCAAACTAGTACCTAGGCCATGAGGAAAAGGGTCGAGAGAGGTGAGCTGTGCCAGCATTGTTCTATTCCTAGAACTTTCTGAACTATTCTTGAAAAATATCCAAGAATAAACAAAATGTTGCACATTTCCTGTTATTCCAGGGTATGATGTGCCTAGGACAGTCCAGCCAAGTATTAATGACATGTAATTTCTAGTTTTGTGTAAACTTCTATCTTACGTACTTAATGCAATTTAGGTGTGAATATCTATATGGATATGTCACTGTATCTATAGAATGTCATAAAGCCGTATTTATTTTGAACCAATTTTTAGTTCAAGTAGATGAAGGCTAATAGGTAAAATTCAGCCCAGACAAGAATTTCCCCTAAATTAAAAGATTATTATCATATACAGTTTTTGGAAACTCCCAGTCATAGATAGTTGAAAAGCAACAGCAAATATCATATGGGAATTTTCACTGGCAAAATATTTTTATTTTAGTAGAAGTCTCTAAGTAAGTACTGTATCTGGTGTTAGATTTATTGCTGCAGTATTGTATTTTCAGTTGGGATAGGATTATTTCATCAGAGGGAAGCATACCCTCTGTTAAAGTTCTGAAGTTCGCAGACAGTACAACAGTCATTGGCCTCATTCAAGACGGTGATGAGTCTCCACATAGATAGGAGGTTGAACAACTGGCCCTGCGGTGCAGCAGTAACAATCTGGAGCTGAATATGCTTAAAACTATAAAGATGATAGTGGATTTTAGGAGGAACTCTATTTTAACCCCCTTCATATGTTATGCTACAATTAACTAGAACTGGGACCCTCAAGACTTCTCCACCTATGCATGCATAGAAATCCATGATTTTGCACGACACTGAAATTTTGTTTTTTTTCTCTAAAACAGGTGCACACTTTTTGATATAGCATTCCTATCAGATGTACCAGATTCCACTTACTATGTTTAGTCTGATTTGTATAATTTAAATTATGTGTTCTTAATTAGCTACATCACAACATTAATTATAAGTGGACCCTAGAGAGTCATGTCCAAATATAAGGCATCATGCCTTCCAAGAATTTGAAAAAGAAAATACTACTGGTATTTACCAGGCAAGGTTTTGCTAGCAATTATTTCAGATTATGAATGAACTCTTTAACATTTTAACAGCTGCAAACTATGAATTTTCAGTATGGTCACAGTACTACAATTAAGAATTTTACAGATACTATAATTTGTTAGTGCTGGGGTTTCCTTCTAGCTCCTTTTAATAATAGTGCACATCTTTAAAATCCTCTAAATTTTTTTGTTAAGGCTACGCCATACAAAGTAGCTTCATAATGTTGTGAAATTACTGATTTAATTCTTCCAAATAATTAGACTTGAAAGTTTTAAGAATAATTTGAGAAATACTGCAATGTATCAGAATTAAGTCCATATGTAATTTAGATAATGATTTTATTTTTTGGATTTTGATTAATTTAATTTTTCTCTTATTAAACAAATAGATCAGTGGTGGCGAACCTATGGCACTGGTGCCAGAGGCGGCACTCAGAGCCCTCTCTGTGGGCACACATGCTGTCGTCCCAGTCCTAGGCCTTCAGCTGGGTTTTATAAAACCTTTTCGCTTTAGGCCTCTGCCACCGTGTGCAAAAAAAAAAAAAAAAAAGGTTCAATCAATTAGTCAATTTCAACTTCTTGTGGGAAAAAAAAAGATCTTGCAAAGTTGGAATTGATTGATTGAACTTTTTAGTCCCACCCAGTCTGCCGTTACCACCGCAGCCACGCCCACCCAATTGGCCACACCCAGCCAATGGCCACACCCACTTGGCACCCGACGATGCATAAGTGGGTTTTGGGTTGCAGTTTGGGCACTTGGTCTCTAAAAGGTTCGCCATCACTGAAATAGATTACAAGTTTAATGCTTTTAAAAAAGTTCTGCAACTGAATAATAAAAGAAAAAAAAAAGTAGCAATTTTAAGGCAATTTCACTAGAGGGCTCTTTAGTTTTAAATATCATCTTGTTTAAGCAGCATATTATCTGAAAGTTAAACTATAAAACAGAATTGTAGAATTATATTATTTTAATAGTCAACAGTTTTTAATACCAGCTAATATAAATTATGTAAGATTATTCAAAATGAACTTAATCAATAACATTTCTATACTATTTATGTTGCCTTATTTTACTTAATGTTAATTACTTTCAATAGCACATTAATCAAAACTGTCAGAAGAGCATCAGACAAACCTGCAATTAAAATTTCAAACCTGAAGTTGGTCTAACCAATAAAATACCTACTTCATAGTAAAGGACTTCTAGAATTAAAGTTTGTGAGTTAAATAATATTTTTTCTTGGTTTACCATCAGTGTACATATAATTTCATTAATTTTTCCCCCAGTAATTTAATGGGACACTGATATGCTGTTACCAAAGGAATAATTACTATAAATTCAAGTCCTGCCTTAGCCATGAAAGCCAATTGGGGGACTTTGGGCCAGTCACTCTCTTTTGGCTCAGCCCACTTCACAAGGTGGTTGTTGTGGGAAAAATGGGAGAAGGAAGGTGTGTTGGATATGTTCGCTGCCTTGAGTTATTTATAAAAATAATAAAAGTGGGATATGAATAAATAAAAATATTTTATTTTTAATTATACTTCAGTTAGCCAATAGTCAAGAACAATCTTTCTAGTTTACTAATGACAAAGATTATTCTCCAGATACCAGAGTCTGAAAGGGGCGTTGTCTTACCTGAACGCCTTTTCTCAGCACGGAGATGGAGGATCCACCCATGGGTAGTAGACTGTATTCCTGCCCAATCAGATTAAGTCAGCCAAAGTTGCCACGCCCGTCCTGGACCCTAGATTCCAGTCTTGACGCGAGCGAAGCCATTGACAGACATAGGACGTACTGGCTCAGAAAACTAAACTNCCAAGTATTAATGACATGTAATTTCTAGTTTTGTGTAAACTTCTATCTTACGTACTTAATGCAATTTAGGTGTGAATATCTATATGGATATGTCACTGTATCTATAGAATGTCATAAAGCCGTATTTATTTTGAACCAATTTTTAGTTCAAGTAGATGAAGGCTAATAGGTAAAATTCAGCCCAGACAAGAATTTCCCCAAAATTAAAAGATTATTATCATATACAGTTTTTGGAAACTCCCAGTCATAGATAGTTGAAAAGCAACAGCAAATATCATATGGGAATTTTCACTGGCAAAATATTTTTATTTTAGTAGAAGTCTCTAAGTAAGTACTGTATCTGGTGTTAGATTTATTGCTGCAGTATTGTATTTTCAGTTGGGATAGGATTATTTCATCAGAGGGAAGCATACCCTCTGTTAAAGTTCTGAAGTTCGCAGACAGTACAACAGTCATTGGCCTCATTCAAGACGGTGATGAGTCTCCACATAGATAGGAGGTTGAACAACTGGCCCTGCGGTGCAGCAGTAACAATCTGGAGCTGAATATGCTTAAAACTATAAAGATCATAGTGGATTTTAGGAGGAACTCTATTTTAACCCACTTCATATGTTATGCTAC